CTCCAAGGAAGAGAGATGGATCAAACAAGGCTGCTGAAATGCTTAAACGCTTCAGCACCAGGGCAAAAAACCCCCAAACAAACTCCCCAACCTGGAACAGAGGGAAACCATGAGTGGAAGTCTGAAGTAATCCCACCAATAGCGCCGTCATCAGAAGCAGCACAACACACACAAAAACACAAAAGGGGGCTGCAGTCTGAAAAAACCCTTAGTAGCAATTCTGTCTCATTGAGCATGTGAAAATAAATGTTAGGACTGCAGTATAAACTCTAATGTGTCAATTCACCCTTTGCATTCTTGTTCTACTAGATGAACATTGTGAATATAAAGTATGATTCGGAAAAACTGTCCAACCTGGATCCCTGGACAACATATTGCATTCAAGTTCGCGTATTTGTTCCTGAATCAAATAAAACAGGAGAGTGGAGCAAAATGTCCTGTATTGCAACAACTGATGACGGTAATATTTAAATAATTAAAAGTGTAATTCATGAAGGGAACTCTTGTAATTTTGTACACTTGTTTTTCCTTGCTCTCTTTTGAACAAAAGGCAGTATCATTGTTTGAAAACTAAAGTTTCTAAAAATCTTATGCATGTTTTATCAGAAATCATACTTACTACAATAGTTATACCCAACGTAAGTGACCATGAGATTTCAGCCTTGGTTGAAAACTTCAGTGGTTGACTTTATTACTAGGAAACAGAGCCAAATTTGGAAATGTTCAAGCCAAAAGAAGAAAATATAGCCCCAATCTGTTGCCACAACAGATTGTTGTTAATTAGATTTATCTTTGTTTTTATGTGTATAAAATAGAGAGCTTCCATTAGATCTAGTAATGACTGATAAGCCATCTTCAATGAGACAAAAACACTATATATATCTATATATAGATATATAGTGAATAAATAGTTCAGATTTTTGTCATCTTTTTCCTCTCTTGCAGGTATAAGTTCAACGCTGCTGACTGTTAGTCTACTATCAGTGTTAATAGTATTTTTTCTCTGCTGCTGGATGTCTTTATATGTTTACCAACAGGTCAAATGTGTCTTCCATCCTTCATATTCTTTGCCACAGCATTTCAAAGAGGTATGTTCATTAGTACCTTGCAAAATATACCCGAGTAGACCTACATATCTTAGGTACCTTAAACTGTAGCCTTTGCCAAATGTCAGTTCTACAGTCTTATGCTTTTCCCTGGATATATAGAATGGCATATAAACAACAAAATTAAAATTTACCTGTGCTTAACAGAAAGTACCTCATGTTGCTTGGCTTATCTTTATGCTTGGCATAAAAGTTTTTGTTTGTTTTTTAAAGCAAATTTCTAAGATTAAAAGTTTTTATTGACTACGTTTTGGCATAATGTGTGCAAAGGTAAATTTGCTGCTTATACACCATACATATTCTGTGATAGAAAAACTGCAGCTCCTGTTTAAGAAAACATTGGTTGTTTGCTTCGCAAAATGCTATGCCACTATGACAGGCATTTCTTCTGGTCTTGGATCAGGATATGTCTGTGACCCTGGCAGCTACACGGCATAGATGCTCAAAAGGCTAGACGTGCATAGACAGGCACAGAAGGGGTGTGTATTTAAGAGTGATGACAAACACTTTTTTTTCTTTGCAGTTTCTAAGCAAGCCTTTTTACAGTTCACAGTCTCTTGCACTACAAGGAGAAGATTATTCCCATGAGAAGATAACTATAGTTTCAGAGATCTCAAAAAATGGTACTGATGAATCTGAGGAGCAAGTGAACAATGCAAAGCAGCAGCTCCAAAACTCCAAAGAGATCTCTGAGGCCAAAAAAGTTTCAGACTTTCCACTTCTGTACACTGTTCATACTGAATGGTACATTGCACAGCAATCAGAAGAAATTTTACAAAGCAGCAGTTAATAATTCACGTTACCAGTCTCAAAATTGTAATTTTGCATACAGTTTTATCAAAACGTACATTTATTCACCTCTAAAAAGCTTTATTAGAAGATTGTATATAACAGGTCTGCAATTTAGAGGTTTATTTTTATAATAATGAAGCATTTATTTTACAGATAAATGTAGCCAAAATATTTATTAAGCAGATTGCACTTACATAAATTGACTAAAATTTCAACTTTAACTGAGTTGTGATTTCTATAGAATAGTTCAAATTCATTATTATGAGAACTTTCCATAGGAAAGATTTAAAATGATGCCTATTGGAAACGATTTACATGCTCTGACCCACATTTGTTTTAAAGTGCAGTGAATTGTATAGCATAAATGTTCAGAGGATCGATGTTCTGATGCAGCTAAAGATGTCCAACTGAAAAAGAAGGCTTGTGTGTGCTTACTGGAACAGAAATAGTGAGCATGTCTAAATACATGTGTCCTCTGTATAGAATACATTCTGGCACAACTATTCATATGTAAATATTGTTTTAATGCATGATTAAAATTGGATTAGGGCAACAGCGTTGACACCCTGACCCATCTGGAACTGTACATGCAGTTTCTGCATGAAGGTAGATACAGTTCATCCTTAACTGTATGAGGAAGCATGTACACAAATGAGTGCTAGAAAGCCCCATCCAAGAGCTGGGAAGAAGGAAGGATGCTACTGCTTTCTGCTACTCTCTCTCACCTCCCGAACAGATCACTGGAGCCAAAGCTCTGGTTTTTCAGCCCTGGATATTTGAGAAACAGCCCATTTGTTGCTTGCACATGCGGATGGATTGGGCACAGTTTAGCAAAAGTTAATCATGACTAATTCCCTTTCTGCTTTCAGGAAACTTAGTCAAGATTACCTTCTATGGATTGTTCATACTATTCAGGAATAGTCTCCATTTATCTAATGGAATAACTGCTGTAGCACAATTTATTCTGAGGAAGGAGGTCTAGCAGAAGCCCTCAAACTTTGTTCTGGAGTTAATTTAATACGTTTTTTTTTTTCCTAATCAAGAACTAATGGTGATAGTTTAGCATGAAGACCGCTGAAATGGAAACCAGGGGTGGGAATGTCTGAAGACGTTTTGGACTTTCAAGGGACAACTGATCTGAGAAAAACTATGTTACACATGCACAAAGTGTGAAAATACACTGTGGATTGCAGTTTATGTGGTGCGGTGGAGCCAGAAGAAAAGAAAATAAGTATTTGTGTAACAATCTCATGCAAAGCTACTTTTCATGTTTACATTAAAGTTATGCTCAGTTTTCCACTGTTTCGTGCAACAGTTTTAACAATGAGTTATGTACTTTATTGTTGTTTACTAGCTTTGTAGAAAGAAACTTAAAGGGACACCATCTAAGTTCATTACAATCAATGGCATTTCTGTCATTATCTCCAATAGGATAAGTGTTGAGTCCACTACTATTAACTGTGTTTATATCCGAGCTGCATCTGTATTGCAGTTTTAATAATGGCATTTATTTGGTGTTTTGGAGTTACCAAAGTGCTTCACATATTTTATCTCAGGACTGATTGTAGCTGCATAATAGCTCTAGAAATACTCTTCATCACTTGTTGCATTCTTATCCCTAGTCAAATTTTCTGTCATAAGTAGGCACCAGGCAAAGTCAATCCTGCTTTCTTGTATTTGACACAGAAGCTGAAAGAAACTGCTTTTTAAATCTGTTGTTCAATCACTGGATCTTTGTGATTTTTTTTAAAATCTGCTTAGATTTTAAGCTTTGATTTAAGCTTAAAAACCCATAACCAAAATAAATCCTAATCAACTTAAACTTCTCAAGAAGTGGTTCAGTAACTATTCATAAATAAAGTAGCTATATCCAAGTTTGGCTAGCAGGCTTTTTAAAAATTACATTTGCAAGAATAATTAGTCATCCTGAGAATGGATACAGTATCTGAAAGATATTAGGAATGTTAGGCAATATTATCCCTGTCCTAGATGGCCCAGGTTAGCCCAATCTCGTGAGATCTATGGTCGGACCTGTTTAGTATGAGAGCTAGTGTGAAAGCTAGTGTGGTGTAGTGATTAAGAGTGTTGGTCTAGTTAGTATCTGGAAGACCCAGGTTCAAACCCCAACTCGTGCCACGGAATCTCACTGGATGATTTTGAGCCAGTTTCAGACAGTCTCTCAGCCTAACCTACCTACCCTAACCTAAGCGTGAGTGCCTATTTTCAGGAAGGGAGTCTGCAGAACTGAGCCAAATTGAGGTAACCAGAGATGAAGTTGTAGACCTACTGGGGAAATTAGGTCCTGACGGCATACACCTGAGAGCAGGGCTGGTGCCAGGTTTTTTTTGTACACTAGGTGAGGTTACCTTCTAGCACACACACACCCATGCACCCACCAATTTTCAAACATAAATGCATTTTAGGAAGAATGAAAAACAAAATTTGAAATTGCTAATTTCTTTTTTTTAATTGTGAGAACAAGTAATACAATCTCTTTTTTTCTCTCTCAAACAGAAAATCACAAAGTATTTTGAAAAATCCTGTTAATTGTGATGTTGAAATTTAAATCTCTTTAATGTTTTCATTTCAGGCTAATTTCTTTTTTTATTATTGTGAGAACAAGTAATACAATCTCTGATTTTCTCTCTCAAACAGAAAAACACAAATCACAAAGCATTTTGAAAAATTGTGTTAATTGTGACGTTGAAATTTAAGTCTCTTTAATGTTTTCATTTCAGGCACATCAGAATCTCATTTGGTGTGCCTTTTCTTTAGCAAATTTTGTCACCAAATCCTTCAGGTCAAGCACTGATGCTTCAGCATGTTTAATAGTTGCCAAACCAGGCAGTCTCTTTTTGCAGCATTGTCGAGCGTCTGTGTGTTTTTATAAGTTTGAGTTTTGAGAAGCTGTGTTCACCACTTGCCACTGACACTGGAAGTGTGAGAAGGATCCTTAGAGCAACAGAAACACTAGGCACACTATCCTGGAGTTCTTGTTGAAGTATGAAGAGAAGTACTTTTTGTGGTGGCATAAACCACTCCCAAACATCACCGGGATTGGGTGTGTGCAGATTAAAGCCAGGAAGACCACACCGGTGGACAAGCGGCCCCTTCAAGCTTTTGCACAGGGCCTGAGACAGAGAAAAGTTGAGCATTCCTCCACATGCGAAGGCAGTGGAAGCTATAACCCACCCCCTCCAGCCAAGGCACCAGACCCTCAAACACCAAGGGAGGGGGGAGTTGAGGCAAGGTGGGTACCCAAGAGGTCACCTCCAGTTATCCTGCAAGACAAGCTTGCCTGCCTGAAGCCCCCTCAATCCAAGAAGGCCTCCTAGCCTCAATCGCATGCCCCCCCCAGCTCCTACCTCTTCCCCGAGGCTGTTGCTGCTGTGCTCATTCTCCTTGGGCAGGTTGCTCATGGTGGGTGTAAGCAGGGTCCAAAGAGGGTGTGCAGGGGGGTCACATGCTGGTCCTGGCCTTTCAGGGGGGCAGAATTCATGCATTCCTTTCTCCCCCCTCCTCGGGGCAGGTGATGTGGGGCAGGTGACCGGGGAGGCGGGAGAGAGACAAGGGGAGAGAGCCCTCCTCAAGTGTGGTGCGCTGGTGCAGGTGGTGGGTGAGGGGGTGAGGCATGCACCTATTTCACCTGGGCACCCATCGAGGTGGCCACATGCCACCAGCCAATGAGCAGCCAAGGGCTGCCCACAAGCTGCAGCTGCTGCCGGGGCCCCATGCACAGACCCTATGTTTGCCTGGCTCACCTGCAATTTGTGCATGTGGCGGGACCAGGTCGGCCGCCCCGCATCACTGTATCCAGGGGAACTTACCAACCAATCCAAAATGCCCCTTTTTAAGCCAAGAACATAGGCTTGATAACCAGGCAGAGAACAATTAAACAAATGGTTTATTAACACAGTAATGGGGCAAGGAACACAAGACAAGGTGCTTTAAAATATATAACAGTGTTTAAAGGCAAAATAAACTAATGCGACTACCTAGTTCACTTAACTGGTTACTACTTCAAGGCCCACAGCCTGCCAGGCCTCCTGACTGTACTCACTGTCCCAAGTGAGGGATCTTTCCCCTCAGTTTAGCTCTGTGTGAGGCCAGACTGCAGAAGAGCAAAGAACACAGTTTTTCAGTTCAAACAGCTTCAGTCAGAATCTCCTCACAAAATCTCTGGAAACTGATTGGCTACAACCCTCGCTAGCATTATGGGGGATTGTAGGCTGTCTGCTTTCTACTCCCACACAGGTCCCTAGAGGCCTAGTCCTGCACAGATCATGACAGGGCTGCTGGGCTTTTCCCTTGGCCGCAGCAGGGTTCCAATCCCAGGCTCCAGTTTGGGGGGAATTGGCAGGCCCAGAAAGGTCTGTCCTGGGCATGCAGCAGATGCGTGCTCTCCGGGGGAATCCAGCAGGACAGGTGAAGGAAAAAGTCCTGGCTTCGATCGGCCAGGCGAGCCTGATCAGATCACAGATCTACTGGGAAGCTCAGCAGGGTCAGCCCTCGTTTAGGACTTGGAGGCAGGGCCCAGGGCCGATGCCAGGCTTTTTTGCACTGCGGTCTCGATGCCTTTGCCCCAATGCCTCGATGCCTTTGCCCCCCTAAAGAGGCATCTGGCTGGGGGCAGCTGGGGGGGGCAGCCAGCCCAGGGCGCCTCTCCGCTCCACAGGCCGAGCCAGGCACATTCCATCAAACCTGGGCTCCAAGTCCCCCCATCAGGTGGTACGAGCCATCCTCCAGGCAGGCGGCAGGGCCAGGGGGAAGAGCTGACGCTGCCCCCCCGATGGCCAGCCTCAGTGGAGCTCCGGCAGGAAGGAGTACAGGCAGTGCCCCGCTACTGGGGGAGCAGATATGAAGGAGTGCCATGAGTAGCTTGCGTGCCTTCCACCACCGGCACCAATCCTGTCCCTGACAGTGCTCCAGATTGGCCTCACCAGGTAGCCTCACTCCCACCCCTGCCATCAGTTCTGCAATCCTCTGATGTCTGCACTCTAGGCAGTCATCTAGGTTGGCCTAATGGTAGCACTGGCCCTGCCTGAGAGTC